CAAGGCAAGCAGCAAGGGTGGGGGCGGACCCCCCTCCCTTAGCAGGTCTGAAAATTAGGTAAGTACAACCTCAGATGAACAATAATACATGACATAATACACCATGTCATGATTTATTTAACATTCATAGGCATCCTTCAGTCTCTGCATGGAGGACTTGGAACAGCGTCTAGTGTGGCCGAGAAGGCCAATTTGAGAGTGACCATCCCTTCCACACTGAAGACAAGTACAATCTATCCCCTGTCCAGCTCCCTGGTTTGGCTGGTTTCGGGATTGCTTCTTTGCCTCGGCCTGCTGGACAAGGGTCTCTTCAAATTGGGAGAGGCCATGATGCACCGCCTGCCTCCAGGCTGAACGCTCAGATGTCAGGGTTTCCCATCCATTAAGGTCCATTCCTAAGGCCTTCAGATCCCGCTTGCAGATATCCTTGTATCGCAGTTGTGGTCTCCCTCTGGGGCGATTTCCCTTTATTTAACAACATAAAGCCAAAATGGAGAAGCCATGTGTGTAAAAAACGAAGTGTACCTTACGATTCAATAACTTGTAGAACCACCCTTAGCAGCAGTTACTTTAAATAATCATTTTCTGTATGACTTTTATCAGTCTCTCACATTGTTGTTGAGGAATGTTGGCCCACTGTTCTTTACAGCATCGCTTCAGTTCATTGAGGTTTGCAGGCATTTATTTATGTACAGCTCTCATAAGGTCCCACCACAGCACTTCAATGGAGTAGAGCTCTGGACTTTAACTGGGCCATTGCAACACCCTGATTCTTTTATTTTTCTGTCGTAGATTTGCTGGTGTCCTGTTGCATGACCCAATTCTGGCCAAGCTTTAGCTGTCAGACAGATGGCCTCACATTTGACTCTGGAATACTTTGGTATACAGAGGAATTCATGATCAAATTAATGACTGCAAGGTGACCAGGTTTTGTGGCTGCAAAACAAGCCCAAATCATCACCCTTCCACCACCATGCTTGACAGGAGGTGTTTGTACTGATTTGCTGTGTTTGGTTTTCACCAAATATGGCACTGTGTATTATGGCCAGACATCTCCACTTTAGTCTCATCTGTCGAAAAGACATTGTTCCAGAAGTTTTGTGGTTTGTCCAGATGCAACTTTGCGCAAACCTAAGCTGTGCTGCCATGTTCTTTTTAGAGAGAAGAGGCTTTCTCCTGGCAACCCTTCCAAACCAACCATACTTGTTCAGTCTTTTTCTAATTGTACTTTCATGAATTTTAACATTTCACAGGTCTGTAGAGTCTGAGATATAACCCTTCTTCCCCCTCCCCACAAAAAAAAAATGTCTCTTAGCATTGTACGGTCTGACCTTGGGGTGAATTTGCTTAGATATCCACTCCTGGGAAGATTAGCAACTGTCTTGAACATTTTCTGCTTGTGAACATTCTGTAGAGTCTAAGATATAACCCTTCTTCCCCCTCCCACAAAAAATTTCTCTTAGCATTGTATGGTCTGACCTTGGGGTGAATTTGCTTGGATATCCACTCCTGGGAAGATTAGTAACTGTCTTGAACGTTTTCTGCTTGTGAATAATCTTCCTCATTGTAGAATGATGGACTTTAAATTGTTTGGAAATTGCCTTACAGCCCTTCCCAGTTGCTTCTCTATGATCATTGATGATGTGTTTCCTCCTTGGCATTAACACATACCTGAATTCTCCAGACCAGCAAACTGCTAAAACTTCAGCTTTTATAGAGGTGGCCACACTTGCTGATGATCAGTTGCTCAAGGGGATTTGGTTAGCTACAGTACTTAGCTTCTTAATTCCTATGGAAGCAGTAAGAATGTCCTCAGTTTTTCACACACGGCTTCTCCATGTTGGCCTTACTTTTGTTAAATGAATTATGACATGGTGTGTAAAGTGTCATTCAACTGAGGTTGTATTTACCTAATTTTCAGACCTGATAAGGACCAAATTATTTTTTGTTATGTCCTGATACATAAAGCCATGGTATTCATAGAGGGTGTACTTTCTTTTTCACCTGACGATATGTTTGCTGGCCTCCGTTTCCTGCCTCAGAGCACCGGTGATTATGCCAAGTGTGGTTTCACCCCCACCTTTCCTCTTTCTTGCTGGGTCTCTTGCCAGGAGAAGCCATGGGAGGAGGACTGGCTGAAGCTGGAGAAACTCATCACACCTCTGGTGCTCAACTATTGCCAATGTCAGCTGGAGCTGGGGGAATATTACGAGGTGCTGGAACACACCACCGACCTTCTCCAGAAGAACAACAGTGAGTGGCCCTACCAGCTAGAGATTTGCGACCCAGTCCAGTCTAGCCCTTGGGGTGTTCTACGTGCATATTAAAATGCAGATGCCCCTGTATCTTTCCCTATGCTGTGGAGAGCACTGAGAAAGCATACCTATAAGATCCCAATATGCTTTCCTAACAATGTTGTGAAAATATAGCTGTGATCTACACCAGTGGTTCCCCACCTTGGGTCCCCAGATGTTCTTGGACTAGAACTCCCAGAAGCCTTCACCACTGACTGTGCTGTCCAGGATTTCTGGGTGCTGTAGTCCAAGAACATCTGGGGACCCAAAGTTAGGAACCACTGATTTACACAATAGCGTCTTATAGTTGGTGAAGCTTGGCTGCCCCTAAGCCCACCTCTCTATTTCTTTGAGTTTGGAAAGTCTAGCCCCCAGTCACACACAGAGAACTTGGGTCACTTGGAAGTCCCTTACTAGGCTACAGATTGAGGGTGGTAGAACCAAAGAGTACTTAAAAATGGTTGTTGTGGGTCTTTCAGGCTCTTTGGCTGTGTTCTGAAGGTTGTTCTTCCTAACGTTTCGCCAGTCTCTGTGGCCGGCATCTTCAGAGGACACCAGAGCACAGAATGCTGTCCTCTGAAAATGCCGGCCACAGAGACTGGCAAAACGTTAGGAAGAACAACCTTCAGAACATGGCCAAAGAGCCTGAAAGACCCACAACAACCATTAAATCCCAGCCGTGAAAGTCTTCGCGAGTACTTAAAAACAATGAGGCTTTTCAACTGACACAGCCTTTCATGAATGTGAACAGGTAGCCTCACATATATGTCAATGTATTCTGTGCCCCTCAACATGTGCCATGGAACATTTGATGTTAGCTGCCCCAAATGCTCTTGATGTTGCCTGCTATTGGGAAGTTTTTTCCCCTGATATATTTATTAATTGTACTGTGGTGCAGATTTCTTTGGGTTCTTTGTCCTCCCAGAAGAATGAGACAAACACCTCAAGCTTCTTGTTTTACAGGCTTATGACCTAGAAATGGAGTTTTGTTTAAAATTACAGTACACCATATTCTGCAATTCTGCCCTGAGGGTGAATGAAGGAAACTGCCTTGTGGGTGAAGGTTTCAGGATTTGGGATAGAGGGAAGGACCTAGTCAAGAAGCTATCTGGGGGCTGTTCTACCTCAAGAGATCTGCTTGCCTCAACTGCCAATTTATTTGGTTGTTTCTCTCTGTGTGCGCTACATTCAAATGGTGCCTGAGAGAGAAAGATAATGTGCTTTTGCAGTGGTTTTATGTCAATCTTGTGTGATCATCTAATTTGAGAACCGGGTAATGGTCTGTGAAAGCTGAATGTTACAGTATATAGAGAGACTTCAGCAGATTTGCAGGGAAAGACCTGAATTTATGAAGTTCATTTGTGAGCATTCCACTGTCTTTGCTCTTTTCTAGAAAATGTCAAGGCTTATTTCAAGCGAGCAAAAGCCCACAGTGCCGTCTGGAATGAAAAGGAGGCCCGGGCAGACTTCTTGAGGGTGGCCCAGCTGGATCCATCTTTGGCGGCTGCTGTGAGGAAAGAATTGAAGATGCTGGGGGAGAGGATGAGGCAGAAACATGTGGAAGACCGCAAGAGATATCAAGGCCTCTTTCAGCAGCCTTCTAAAAGGGAAACAGTGGGGAGGACAACCGAGGAAGACCTCTCTGAGGAAAAAGAAGAATGGCCTGACTTCACCAGGCAGAGGACAGAGATTGAGGAAAACAATAGAGAAAACTTATGGAGGAGTGAGAGGAGACCAGAAGGGATGGAGGCAGACGTGATGAATGGAGAAACGGGGCAGGGAAATGAAGGAGAGGAAAAGAAAGAGCTTATGGAGAAGGAAGGAAAGAAAATGGATGAAGGGGATTATTTTCCTCAGAAAGAGGGAGAAAAGATTAAGATTGAAATAGGAAATAAAGAGGAAGAAGAACAAGGCCAAGGAAAGGAGGATAGTTACTCTGGAGATGATGTCACTGATTGTCAAACATCTGGGAGCAAACAGTTAGGAGTTGAGCCATGGCAGATAAAAGAAGAAACAGGAAACGCAGGAGTGGAGCGGGATCAAAAGAGAGAGAGAGGTTTGGTAACACCACAAGAAGAGCAAGAAAGGAGAGTTATCCATGGGGATTCTGGAAAGAAACCAGGGCAAGCTACAGAAAGCACCAGGATCCACATTGGAGAGGGATTTGTCAAAGGATGCTGTGAGGGAGAAGTGAATTCCACCAGAGAGAGGGAAAATGAGGAAGCCATGTGTGGAACACGAGAAGTCACTGCAGGGGAGCAGAGGGTGCAGAATGATGTACATTTTGGAACACAAAATTTCAGAGAAGAGGACAGGCAAAGTTACATAGAAGACAGTGAAGGAAATTATTTCCAGGTCCAGAATAATGAGTCAAAAGGGAAAGCAAGGGAGGCCACAGAGTTCAATTCTGCGGGAGAGATAAGGTCTGAACAGAAAAACTGTGGATGCTCATGGAGAGAAGGTGCCCTTAAAGAGATGAAGGAACAAATGGAAGGAAGGGAATTGCAAAGGAATAAAAAAGAATCTGACCATTATTCTAAGAACGAGACTGAAGCAGAGCAAGGACACTGTGAAGCAAACACAGAAGACACTGCATGGGCGGCTAGAGATGGTGGGAAAGAAGCAGGAGATGACAGAGATGAGGCAAAGACCAGATTCAGGGCAGAGAATTCCAAGGAAGAGAAATATAATCACAGCAAAGGAATGGGATGTGGAAAGGAAGGAATCGAGGCTGGATCTGGTTTTGTGCCACCGGAAGATATAGATGGAGATGAGATCAGGCAAGAGAGTTTTGAGTCAGAGACCAGCTTCAAAGTGAAGAATCTGGAGATGGAAGTAAAGGTTGAAAACCTGGAAACAGATCAGGCAGACTTGCCCATTAATTGCAAAGGGCCTGAGAAAGCAAGAAGGGAAGTGGAATGGAATTTGGGAGAAGAACATCTCCAGAAGGAGGGTGAGGTGTCAGGAAGAGGAATTGAGAATGTTATTGTGTCCCAAGACTCTAAAAATGGCAGCGACCAAATTCAAATGTAATGTTTGGGAGAGATGGCTGGGCCTGGAGCCATAAGTGAGCGGAATGTTTGTTTTGAGAGAGCCCAGCTTGGTGCAGGAAGATCCTCGGTGAGGAGGGAGAGTGGGTTATGCAAAATCCTGTGCACGAGTGACTGCTGTCAAAGTCTACAGTGACTCCTAAATATGTTGGCTAATGATGACCTCTGTCAAAGTGGCCCAATCAATTTCTTGTGTGTGGGGGAGAATGGTAGGATCCTGCCCTTTTTTTGTTCCAATAACACACTTTTCAGCTCCCTCACATGTTGCTGAGTTGCCAGGCCTCTTTTTCAGCTGTTCACCTTGTACTTTGAAAAAATGAGTAAGAAGAAAAGCCATGTGGTCCTTGTACGCAGTCTGACAGATCATACTTTTATGAAACTACTAAGATATTACAAACAGAAATTAGCTTTCATCCCTGCACCACCATCGGCTGTGTGGTCTTCAGACTGATGGAAGATCCTTGCAAGATTGAAAGCTAGGTTGTGTTGGTGACTTTTATTGTTCTAATAAAGGTTTCATCTACCTTTGCCTTTGGGGGAAAAGGGAGCTGTTTGACACGATGCAAGCTGAGTTCATCCTGTATCCAGATTTCCCAAAAGAGGCTGGAGAAGATAGTTATTTCTCTCTCTCTCTCTCTCTCGAAAGTTAAAGGTGTATTGAGAAAGCATTGAGTGTTATTTGGTGTACATTAATTCCATTCTCGCCTCTGATAAATATGCTTCATATTTGACTAAAGGGGATAGTAGAAATATAAGAAACCTCTCAAACCCCAACCATATGGACTATTCCTGATTTTCCCTGAATTGTAAGAGTCCACAGAATGACGGATAGGGCATCAACTGAAGACCAACACGAGTTCTTGAATATCATGGACTTCTGATGCCAAACAAGCCATACTGCATGCTAAAGTAAGAATCCACAAGGAAAAACCATTGATTTGACCTTAATTTAGCTTTAATTGACTGTTCCTGGTGGTTTCACTAAATGGCTTTAATTGACTGTTCCTGGTGGTTTAACTAAATTCCTAATCCCAACTGTTTTAGAGGCAGGTCATATTCTTGGGCATTCTTAACTCTTCTAGCGAAACAGAAATTCTTTGACAACAACCAAAGAAACAAAACAATACAAAACAAACAAACAAAACACACATGTGGCACCTTAAAGACTAGCCATTATATTTTAATGTAAGTTTTCATGGGCATGTCGACTTCGTCAGACTTTAAGAGACAGAATTCCATTCTGAATTTCAGAATTTTTATTCTGTCTCTTAATGTCTGACAAAGTGAATGTGTCCACGAAAGCTTACGTTAAAATATAATGGGTAGTCTTTAAGGTACCACATGTTTTTGTAATTTTTTGTATTGTACTGTATTGTTTCTTTGGATTTTGCCTGATATGCTTGCACAGACTAACACGGCTACCTCTTCTAGAAATTATTTGAGTTTAAAAAGGCAGAGAAGTCGGTGGGGGAGGGAGGCGGGTAGCAAATTGCCTGACCACTGTTTTAAGAGGTCAAAGAATTCCAAACTAGGAATTCTTTGGGAAGCTGGGAAGGAGCTTGAAAACCACAAAAACTACTGCAGTGCTCTCTACATGGGGCTACCCTTGAGGCTGATGCAGAGACTTCAACTGGTCCAGAATTCGGCAGCCAGATTAATAACTGGGGTGAAGAAATTCCAGCACATCTCCCCCACTCTGGCCACCCCTCATTGGCTACCGGTTTGTTTCCCTATCGACTTCAAGGTTATGATGATAACATTCAAAGCCCTAAACGGTTCAGAACACCTGCTCCCAGCCAGATCTGTCCGTAATGCCCTTTCTTCACAGGAAGGGCGGTTGAGGGCTTTGACCCCAAAGGAAGCCCAGGGGGAAAGAACAAGAAACTGGGGATCTTGGCAGTCCCTCCCCCCCAAGCCTTTGGAACAACCTGCCCATTGAGATTCTCTTGGTACCCTCCCTGGATGGGTTCAAAAGAGCATTGAAGATCTGGCTCTTCCGCCAGGATTTCCCAGAGCATTAAGATCTTGCTTCCTTTTTACCATCCTTTTTGCCATCCTCTCCATCATCCTTTTTTACCACCTTCATTACCATCTGTTTTAATTTACCCTATTTGGTTATGTATTAATGTATTTTTTTATCGTGTTTTAATATTGTTGCTGATATTGTTGTTAGCTGCCCAGAGTGGCCTGGTTGCCAGATGGTGCAGGGTATAAATCCAATAAATAAATAAATAAACTTGCATACTGCATTATCACCATCTAAGAAGTGAACCTAGCTTCAGCATCATCAGCCATGTGGATTTGGGACATTAATAGCAGCCTATAAGTTGGAACTACCCACAAGAACTTGAAGATGTTTTATCATCAAACGTTTGCTGTTTGTCTTTGTTTTCTGGCTTGTTTTGTTTTGTCTTATTTTCTTAATGGTTGATTAAAGGTATGACCTCTTCCTGTATTTCTACCAAAACTAGCTATAGGAGGCAGGCTACCTCCTTTATAGGTGGCCTCCTGAAGCTATGCAGATGAAACTTGCCTTTTTAAATTTCCACACAATACATTGCTATATTACTCTGAAGTCTTGTGGGAAATTTTAGGATGGCGCCTTCCCCGATTCTCCCCAGCAGAGGCGATGGGATATTGCTTACAGGGTGGTTTGAGAATACTCATTTTTTCTCGCAGACCCTACCTTTCTTCAGAAGCTTGCTGTGAGCATAAGGGGGTCGGGGACAAGATGTGGAGGCCTTACTGGAAGTTTCAAAAGAAGGCCAAGACACAAATATCATAAACAATTTACTCCCTATCGTTTAATTTTATAATCTTACAGAGAAAGAAGAAACGTTTCTTTTCAAGTTGCATGGAGAAGAATAAGACAAAGAAATCCAGGTCTGTTCCCCCCCAAAATTCACACAGCACCAAGAATGGAACCAAAAAGAACAATCAATATAAATTACAAATTTATTCTTTCCCCCCCACAGACCAGAAATAGAAAAGATCCAAGTAAGGATAGTGCATTGTAACCGGTCAATATTAATCTCCCTCCCAGTCTTTAATGCTTGGCTCACCCTAACCCCAACCCATTGTATCAAGACTGAGATTCTCAGATCTTTTTTAAACCCAATCTTTTAAAAACCTTGTTCTCGGCTTTACCTTCTGGCAGGACGGGCCACAAAAGGGATGACCAGAAAGGAGGGTCGGGGTATGTGGGATCATTCGTGAATTTAGAGAAAGCTGGACAAGGGCTGTTAGTCATCCCCACAATTTACATCAAGCCCAAGGGCCCTAAAAAGGTAGCTGTGGGACACACTTTATCATCTGGTTATAGTTTTAAACATATAGGAAAAAGAAAATTATATATAGTCAAAAACCACAAATGTCTGCTGCACACGACAGATTCTCAATAGGGCATAGGGAGGAAGTGCATAGGGCTGAAGATTTTACTTTTTATATTTCATCAAGAAGCTTGTCCTGGATGTTAAACTGTAAGCTGGTTTAGATGCTGCTCAGCAGAAACTCTAATTAAATTGAAAAGGAACAAGAAGGAAGACCGATTGAAGACAATATTGTCAGTAGAGCATATTTAATGCAAATAACATTTAGTTAAGAGCACCCCTTTACCATATTTTAGCCCCATGGAGGATAGCAATGATAATAAATGGACTTATCTGAAATATTTTAAATATGCATTGCAGGGCACACTGCCCCCATAAGAAAAATTACAGACTTCCCTGTTATACTGTTCCTTAACAAGCTCTTCTGGCAATATTGCCTACATTTGGTCTTCAACCATTAAAGATAAGACATAGGAAGGCTATATTGCTCCCTCAGCCATAACTCCAAGATGACCTGCAGCTAGAAGAACCTCTGTTTCACAGCAACTTGTCTGAGACATTAGAAAAATCTAAGGAAAGAGAAGTCTACATTGTGAAATTAATTCAGTTTTAAACCTGTTTAACTGGCAAAGCTTCTAGACAGAGACTTCAGGGAAGCAGAGTTCTGAAAAGGAGGCTAGGAGCAATGAGAAAGAATTCTTATTACTCCAACTTTACTAGAAGTCCCAATATTGTTTTGTGGAAAGCCATTCATATTAAACAGGGTTTGAACTGTGGACTGTATCTAGCAGTTGGAAGACAGACAGAAGGCTGGTAGTGGTTCCTGTCCTTTAAAGAATGGTATTTTTTAAAAGAGGATGTTTGGTGAGGGCTGTTCTCCTCATACCTACAAGACAAGCTGCCCCAGGCAAAATTCCTTATCCACACAGTAGATATGAGAAATCTGGGATGACCACTTCTGTCATGCCTGATCATTGACTACACTGGCTGGCACTAATGGGAAATTAAAGTCCAGATGGGATCTGAGCCCCATCTGGAAAACCACAGATCCTCACCCATTTTATACAAATACTATAAAAACCTGTGTTACTCCTTGCATCTACCCACCCTCTTTCTGTGTCTTGATTTTCTAGTGCTCATCAGCTCCTAACAGCTCACCCAAGACAAAAACTTTGCTCCTTCCCGCTTTGCATTGGTTGATGCCACTTGATTGCAGATCCTATGGAGATTTCTCTCTGCAACTATTTTTGAAACACTTCCCGTTTAAGAAATCAGCATATCTTCAAGCAATTATCCCAAATTATTTCCAAAAGGATGAAGGAACCCATTAAAATGATCTTCTGTCCTGGATCTCCCCCCCCCTTGCTTTTGTAGATTTGTACTAAATTGATTTGACCAAACTCCGGGAGGCAGTGGAAGACAGGAGGGCCTGGTGTGCTCTGGTCCATGGGGTCACGAAGAGTCGGACACGTCTTAACAACTAAACAGCAAAAAATTAAATTGAAAGCTTCTGATGGGAGCTCTTGGCAGCAGGCATCTTCTAATCCACTTTGGAAATCAGCTATCTTTTTGACAACTTGAAGAAATCCTTTAAAAACGATCTTCTCTGCTGGATCTCTCTTTCTTTGCTCTGTTTTGGTGGCTTAGCACTGTCATTAAATGCTTCCAAACCTTTGGCATCCGCTGCTCATCGACCTTGAAAATCTGCTGTGTCAGTAAAAACAACACCTCTTTAAACAATCTGGAAGAAATCCTATGACATTTAGCTACTCCCCTGTATCTTTTTTTTTTTGGTCATCTGTGGATTAATATTAAAATTGAAAGCTTTCCACCCCAGGAAGCTTGTGCCTCCAAGCTTGCTCCTGGTACAAGTGAAAGAAGCAAACAAAAACAGCCACCTACAAGAACTGGTTTTGTAAATAATGGAAAACTGGGGGATGGGGTGGGTGGATATTTTGGTTGGTTGGTCATACCTTGTCACTGTTGGTACCAGCATAAGACTTGTATTGTCAGTGGAAAAAAATACCAGTATCATCAGTGCACAACTGGGTCGAATAATAAAAACAAAACATAACTAATGCTCCATCTGGAGCAGCCCCTAGCTTGATTACATACTTTCTTTCCACCTAATTTACGTCCTACTTGGATTAAAGGCTGTAGTATATAAGAAGCTGCAAGAGGCAACCAGTTTAGCCACAGTCCATCCTTTCACTGATAGCAAAGGATGTTGAAGGAACTTTGGCAGATGCCTTATGCTGAAACCATGTGCTTGTTCCATTGGTCCAGTTTTACCAATTCTGACCAGCCGCGACTCGTCCACAATTTCAGGCAGAGTTCTCTCCTAGCCCTAGCTGGAGATCACTGGGATTTCTTGGTGGTTCCCACCCAAGTACTAACCAGGCCAGATCCTGTTTAACTTCCCAAATCAGACAAGGATGATGGGGTGGGATCCTCTGCCAGTTTTGGAAAGGACCACTAGCTTAGATGAAGTGGAAATAGGAAATCAGCCAAATCATCCTACCAATTCCAAACTGGAATTTCATTCTCCTCCAAGACTAAGTTAAAACAAAAATGCAGTTCAGAAATAATTGCAGGAGTGAGTTGAGCAGATATGTTTAAAACTCAGATATCAAGCAGAAGAAGGTTCATTCCTAGCCAGGAGAAACTGTCATATATACAGTATAATGGTATCAGAAAGGACACCATAACAAAATTCTTAACAGGATATTCTTTACATGCATCATACTCCCTCAAGCTCACTTGGTCGCCTATAGCGACCAGTAGCTTAAAAATCCAATCTTTTTCCAGTTATTCTGAGACCAATCACCCCCCTGGCTTGATTCTTTCTTGGGATCCTATAAAACGCACAACAAACAACACGCTGCAGCAGTCTAGTAACACAACTCACAACACTTACAGTGCAACATGCTACATCAACCCTCACACCTACACTGCTTTCAACATTTGTTCCATTCCTGACAATCCACAAGCCTGCTACAAAGAACCAGCATGTCACATCATGAGTAGGTGGCCCAACAAGCATGACACAAGCAAAATGTGCTTGGCAAACTTGCTTTTTAAAAAGAAGGTTGCAGTTATTTTTATGATATTCCAACTCTACAGCAGAGGCCAGCTTCCAGTCTGCAAGCAACTTTCAAAAATATTTCGAACCGGTAGCCCTTTACCATGTGTTCTAAAAATTATATTACATCCACACAGAGGCTGCTACCAACACAATACATTAAGCAACATCCAACAATGTGCACAACTGCAATAGACCCTGACTGTCAACCTGCCTCTACAGTGTTCGTGGCTCTTATAATCCACAGCTAACTACTACATTTTTTTTACTAGCACCTTTACTCTACAATCATACAATTATTCCAGCCCTAGAGTATTTTTAACCCTTACTCTCATCTGCTTTCCCATTATGGATGTTTGCTTAAGGGGATTCACGAGCAGGCTGCAAAAACTGGCTGGCCTAGGGCATATTTTGTGACAATCTGCGGGAGAAATCTTGACACATTCTTTGGGCAGCGATTATGATCTGGATCTTCCAGATTCCTGAGGACGACCAGACACAGGCTGAAATGCAGACAGAGGTTTGCTCACTGTTGCTTTGTGGAAGGCCAGATGAGCATAGAACTCGAGTAACTGTACCCGGCTGTATGTTATGCTAATATAATTGAGAGCTGACCTTAAACAGCCCATGATTTCTTTTCTTATTCTTTTTAAATACTGGGTTTCTTTCCCCTTTCTTTCAGCTTGTAGCCCATCACCTAGACAGGTAGATCGAGGTCTGCCTTCCTTCCTTTTACCCACATTCCATCCCTTTCCTTTGCTGGAGAAATGGGGTGGGGTGGGTAGTGCCATTTGCCATAATGCCTACGAAATAACATTGCCTCACAAAACCAAGGATCTGAAGCTGCCTGTTCCATAGTGGTTCACCTACGTCAAATTTGGATTCTTCCAGAGCAGACTAAATCTATGTATTCCAGTGGGAGCATACCAGCATAACTTGAAAACCCAGCAGAGATTTTTTTAAAAAGAATCAATTCAGCATATTTTGTGTGCGTGTTTGGACAAACTTTTCTCAGTCTTAGATGTAGCTTGTCCAAACAGAAAGGTAGGTGGCAGGGGGAAGATTTTCCAGTGTAAGAGGGTTGTACGTCCAGGACTTTTTTTTTTGCAACTTGAAGGAAGAGGTCTTATAGTGAGGTTTTTTTTTTTTTTGCCCAAATACTAAGGGGCTCATTTTTTTAAGGTGAAACCAATGGAAAGTTCTGGGTAGGGCTTCCCTCAGCCACCTTAAAATGTAGATGATATACACCCGTTTGATGACATTATGCACAAGATGGCAAGACATTGCTTCCCAAATTTTCTCATGTAAGAACAATTAAGTGACGGAGGGTTGTGCTTCATCCTATATAAATAAACCTTGCAGATGCCAAAAAAAGAAAATGAAATTCCCAGTTCACAGCCCCACCCTATTCTCAGAATGGACATAAAAATCCAGATTCACTTTGGGTGAAATGTTCGGGAGAGAAGAGAGCTGCTCTTCATCATTAAAATCCAAAACAGTAACAAGAGTTTGGAACAGATCAAAACAGCAGAGCCAAAGTAAACACTTAACAAGGAATTAGAATTTAATGCAGGAGGGAGTCCATAACAGCACTTAAATACAGTATATATAGTGTATATTTATATCTATATATAAATATTCAAATTAAAACAGTAAGGCTCTCTGTTATAAAGTTTCTCTCCCTTAAGGCTGCTACTGCCATTTTAAAACCTGCACTCTCCCTCTTTCCCCATCACCACGAGACATCCTCGAAGCTATTTCACACTTGGAGACACCTAGTTTAGTAGACACGGAGACACCTAGTCACAACTTCCTTTCTGCAACATAGCCAATTCTATGCAGAATTTTCTTTCTCTTCCTAAAAAAAAAAGTTTGGCTTCTCCCTTCAAAGAGACATAGTAGTCAGCCAGTTACTATGGGACCATTCCTGCACCTGCCTTCTTGAACTAACCACGACTACTTTAATGGAGGCTGGAGACTGTTCACTTGCGGGGAAAATAGTCACTTCCTGACTCTGCCCATAATGGGGGGCCATGAAAGGCAACCGTTCACAAACTGTAGAGAGGAAAACATTATTGGTGACAGTTTGTGGTTTGCACGCAAAGGCATTTCCATGTACCCCTTTTTTGTCTCTATTTTTTCAGAGTTCCTTGAATCCAAGCCTCTAAAACAGCACCAAATTGTCGCCTCCTCCAGATGCTGGGTGGCTCTCTGGCTTTCCCTTAACAATGCGCTGCAGGAAATAAGTACAGTACTGCTTTTTTTTCCTGGAGCCCATAAGGATTCCTTCCGCTGAGGGTCCCCCCCCTTTTAAGGATCTGAGTAAAGCCCGCCACATGAGGGGGGGGGACCGGCATGTGTGTGTGAGAATAGCAGCTGCCAAGGAACTGGTTAGACAAAGCTTCTTGCTTGCAGGAGGAGATTAGATAAGAGAAGTCGGACCTGAAAGAGAAAACAAAACAGGGCTGAGCCAATGGGATGGCTGACGGCACCTCATGGACAGAGATTGGCTGCGAGGGGGGGGGAGAGAATGTTTTTGGGACTGAAACACCAACAATCTTGTGGCATTGTTGGGGTCTGAAGGGTTTGAAATCCAAAGAAAAGAAAAGAAATGTTTTCCACCTTTGCTTTTGTATTGAGATAGCTACGTGAGTGGTTGGGAGTTCAATTCTCCCACTGTGCCTCCTGCAGGTAGAGCCAACCTGGGTGGCCTTGGGCCAGCTGCACAGTCCCAGAGCACCCCAGAAAAAGGGAACGGGAAACCACGTTTGAGTACACTCTGTCTAGAAATCCCTGAAAAGGGTTGCCATAAGTCAGAATTGTCTTGATGTCACATGATTATTGATATCATCTGTATTGGGCCATTTTTGTCTGAGGATATTAATGTCTGCCATTACGGATGCCCTCCCCTCGCCCTGTTTGCCACCCTCCTTCATTTTGACAGTAAAATTAATAGCACATACGAAAGACACTAACAGGCAACAAGCAAGCCATCCATTTCTAATAGCAGAAAGTGCAGAGGAAAAAAAATAGTTAAACCAGTTTGTGCTGCTTTCCATTTATCTTCAAAATGGTGACCTTTTTTTGGGGGGTGGTGTCACTTGATCAACCTCCTTCTCCTCCCGACCCCAGGTTTCCATAGCTCCATCTATCTTATCATACCACATAAAGATAATACAGTGGTGCCTCGCTAGACAGTTACCCCGCATGACAGTTTTTTTGCTAGACATTGACTTTTTATGATCGCTATAGTGATTCGCAAAACAGTGATTCCTATGGGGGAATTTCGCTGGACAATGTTTGGTCCCTGCTTCGCACACCGATTTTCGCTAGACGACGATTTTGACAGCTCCCTCCGCACTTGCAAACAGGTGTTTTCGGGACCTAAGCTTCGCAAGACAGCGATTTAAACAGCTGATTGGAGGTTTGCAAAGCGGCTTTCCTATGGCCGATCTTTGCTAGACAACGACGATTCTTCCCCATTGGAACGCATTAAACAGGTTTCAATGCATTCCAATGGGGAAATGCTTTTCGCTAGACAATGATTTCGCTAAACAGTGATTTCAGTCTAGCGAGGCACCACTGTATTCCAAAAGGAGTTTTCCCATGGCCTAAATCTGTGGCTATGCAGGCTTGGAATTATGGGGGACAAAAATAATAGTTTTTCTTAATTCTGCGGTCGTGAATCCATAGAATTCAGAGAGGGCAGGAACGACATTTAAGCACTAACCACAGGCAGCCAGGAATTGCATGTCGATGCCTGCCTTGACTCCAATGAGGGAAGCATGAGGGCTGGCAGAAGTGGGCAGAGGGTAAACATCAGCCGGGCTGCCAGGGAAATCAGGCCCCCCTCCCCGGTTGTGTTTTGCACAGAAATGGAGGGCCTGCTGAAGGAGAGAGATGGTGCTATCCAGCTCTCTTCCGCTAGTCCTTAGCAAAGTGTTATCATTATTATTGTGGGGTCGTTAATGAAGTGGTATGAACCGTATGCATCATTTTGGTCTAGAGGACAGAGTGGCAGATGGGGATTCAGGAGAACGGGGTTCAAATCCCCTGCTCTGCCATGGAAACTCACTGGAGGGGGGCGTGTGCCATTAGTAAAAGCACTCCTTAAATGTCTCACTTCCCTTGAAAGCCCTATTAGGGTTGCTGCGACTTAGTTCCGACTTGACTGCACATAACAAACAAAGAACTAGATCAGCTAACTGGGCAGTTCAGCTGGTTTTGAGCATGTGAGGTGGAACCAAAGATCAGGAGTTTAATTTGCCCCTGGACCTCTTGGGAGATAAAGCCAGCTTGTGCAGCCTTGGACAAGTTGAAGAGTCCCCAAAAGATGGAGTGGTTTGAAAGCTTTATGTCTTAGAAAACACTTGGAACAATTGCCATAAGATGGAATCAACATGACAGCACATGCCTCTCATTATGAACAAGGAATAAGCGTTACGTGGAAAGGTATTAAGCTATAATACATGGAGTTTCCTGGTTCAAAGAGGGCATTCAGAACATTCTCTGGGCAGTTCCTGGGATAAAATGTGTGGGAAATCTGCTTTTCAGTGACTGGAATCTCCAGCTAGAGGGCAGATCTGGTGGTGATGGGGTCCTTTGAGAATACGACCCAGGCAATCTGACTTGCCAGCTTGTAATATTTATCCAGCTTGAGACTGCTGTGCTAGGACAGGCACATATGCAGCCTCCGTTTCAAACAGGAGTTGCGCTGGAGCTGTCTCTTGAGGTGTGAGCCCAACTACCTCTGGCTTTCACAGCAAACAGAAATGAGGATACACCAGAACACTGAATAGTGATCCAACAGGCAGTAGTTTCAGAGCATTTACTGCATTGCATTCTTATATCCATTTAAGTTCTGTAAAAACTGCTCCCGGAATGGGGAGGGGGGCCGTGATTTATGATGCTCCAGGCAACAATTAATTAATTATGTGAACAGTCACTGTTTGCTAGAACTTTAGAGAGGCATTTTCCTTCCAAATTTAATCTTAAAGACAAAACAGTCTTTTGGAGCCATGGGAAAATGCCTTATCCTGTATCAGAGTATGTTGCAGAAATTATCACTCTTGCATGCAGCTTGGTGCTTCATTTCAGTAGAAGAGTTTTTGCACAAACTAAGGTGATTGTATTCTGCCACTAACCAATTATCAAAGTATCCCCCTTTGCCAGGCTTGAGGCAAGATCCTGCTCCTGCTTCCTATCTGTTTGCTTCCAATTGCTTTGCTTTTGCTCTGTCTGGTTCCTGACCTCCAGACCATACAGTTGTATGGATTTCTTCCTCTTCCAAATAGTTGTGAGATCCAACCCCATTTTATGCTTTTATTCTTCTGGTTGTAACTGAAGTTCACCTGTAAGTAAAGATGTTTTCCTTTTTCTACCTAAGCTACTTGTAGAAGTGATTTTTATAAGCAAAGAGCTAGTTTCTGTGTGAACAGGGGGGCTGGGTGGAAAATGGGATTTACAGCTATTCTCCTTCATATTTTCTTTATGGTGCAGTTGTTTATGTTTTTATAATTTATGCTCGGCTAATCAAAAAAGGAATTAACCAAAATCCCTCCAATAAATCACTGGTTCATTTGGCTCAGTATGAATTATTCTTGGCTATATTAGCCATGTGAATTAAATAAAGTACTGCCTTTGCTCACTTACAAGGTCCTGTAGACGCAGACAACAAATATGATAGTGGTGGTGGTGAGATTTGTTGTTATGTGTCTTCAAGCTGAAACTTACTTATAGCTACCCTAATAAGACTTTCAAGGAAAGTGAGGTGTTAAGAAGTGAATTTACCAGTTATGCACCCCCAGTGAGCTTTCATGGTTGAATGAGGATTAGAATCCAGATCTCCTGAATCCTGGTCCATCACTCACCACTACACCACACTTGGCATCCTGGAGGACATTTACTCCTAACAAAATATTTTGAAATACCAATAAAATGCTCGGTCACATATTTCCCCCATGTATTTTCATCAGGATTTTGCCCAAGAGATGTGGATAAGAACGTTTCATGTTGATTCCATGGCAAGGTGAAAGGAAGGTCATAGCTACACCATCAAATTAAGACCAACAAGCTGTTAAGCAATAAGACAAAGTTAGAGATTTGGGATGCTAGACGCCAACATCATAAGCAGACAGGCCAGGAGCAAGTCTTAACACAGAGGCTAATACCAGCTGCTGCCCATTCTTAGATGTGAAAGGCCTCTAGGAGAACTTGAGAGATTTCTTCAGGAAAGCCAAGGGATGTGGCCTCTCTCCTGTGAGAAGAAAAGGGGATCAAGACTCAGGACAGGTCTAAATCACAAACCAAGCCTTGTTAATTGCCTGTGGCTTTTCGTTAAAGGAACCTAAAAGCCCATTCCCTTGTTGCCAAGGGAACGAAGAAATCTTAGAACCCTTGCAGAACTGCAGGTCCCAGAACCCCCTGCGTCAATGGGTCCCCGGGTGTTCTTGGACTAAAACTCCCAGAAGCCTTCACCACTCGCTGTGCTGTCCAGGATTTCTGGGAGTTGTAGTCCAAAAACATCTGGGGACCCAAGTTTGGGAACCACTGCTTTGGACAGTGACACGAATTGTTATCTGTAAAGCGACGGTAATATTTACTGCACACGTGGAATTTTGTGCATCTGTATGTCTTTATTTCATGTAGGACCTGCTGGATGAACCCAACATTTTCCTCCAGCCCTGACCACTAGTGGAAGACCAGACTGCCCCACAAGAGATGGTGGCCAAGGTAATATGGAGCTAGACCCAAACAATTTCACACACTGTACCTCCAGAGTTGGGAAAAGCATTCCGTAGCTTCTCCATGATATCCTCCAGACACAGACTGACGTCTTGAGTACTCACCTCCCCTTCATCTATGAAGAAGGAAATTGAGGAGAGAGAGAGAGAGAGAGAGAGAGAGAGAGAGAATGCTTTCAAGATTTGACCTATCATTGCCAACTATCAATTGGTCTCCTGTCTGGGCTCTAGGAGAGAAAGAATGAAAACGGGCTGTCCTCCAGTTTCAAGAAGAGAATTTAAAAGCCATCTGTAGCAACAGGGAAACATCTGTCTGTTCTTATCAGGAACGGAAACAAAACATCTCAGGAGGAAACTCAGCTGCCACCCCTCCAGCCTTAGGGGCGGTGATGGGGGAGAGGCAACACACCCCAAAAGCCCCACCTGCTGTTTCTGTGTTTGGGGTACTGGAGTCTTTCTCCTTGAGCTGACTCCCCTCAGACGGATGAGGAGAAGAGGCCAAGGACGAGGCTGCAGAGGTATCTCCTTTGGCATCTGCTGGGGGCTGGGAAGAGAAGACAGAGATAAAGGAAAGTTCTCAGCAGCTTCTCACCTGGTGCATGTTCCTCTTCCCTGCAGGACAGAGGGCAGAATGATGATGGAGCTAGAGACTTCCTATGAGGAAAGGGTTACAACATCTGGGTTGCCTTACCCGAGGGGGAAAAAAGAGTGACCTGGCGGGGTGGGGAAAACACAATAGAGGTGTACAAAATCATGCCTCAGATACCCACTAATAATACTACTTCATGGCGTCACCCCATGAAGGTGAACGGTGGCAGACAGATGGAAGGATGCTGTCCTGCACACAGGAAACACAGTTAAACAATGGAAATCGCTGCTACCCTTCTCCTGCCCACTTTTTCCTGCAACAAAATCTGATGTTAAACTCCTGCTTCATTCATTTCTCTGCCTCAGGGATGCATCCACTGACAGTTTTTATAGAATCATAAAGTTGGAAGGGGCCTATAATATGGCCATCGAGTCCAACCCGTGCTCCAAGGCAGGACTATAAGTCAAAGGATATCTGCCAGGTGGTGGTCTAAATTTCTCTTGAATTACCTCAGGCGTTGGAGCACTCACCACCTCTTGAGGTCCTGGGTTCCACTGTTGTACTGCTCTAACAGTTAAGGACGTTTTCCCTGATATTCTGGCTTCCTGTAACTGTAACTTCCAGAGTTTTTAAAATGTTTATCTCTGTGTGTGTTGTTCTCATTTTTAGCATGTAAGTGCATCAGTGATGCATGCTATTCTAGGTGCGTCAGGTTTGACTGTCTGGTGAAACGTACTTAAGTCCTCTGGAAACATCTCATGATGTTTGTCTATGACTCAAGATATTACCAACAGATGTGCTGATAACCACTCAAGTTGATATTTCTATAGGATTTACTCTAGTGTGTCTTTTTTTTTCTTTCCATTCAAGCAGTTCACCGAAATGCTTGGATGATGAACTAAGTTTTAGAGGCTGTTCTGAGACACCAGCTAGCAAAGTCAATTGAAGGTGAATGTTCAAAGCAGGCGGAGAACATCCCTCTGGCTCAGGGTGCGACCCTCACCTGCAGCAGCAGCTCTCTCAAGCGCTGCAACTGAGATTCAAGCTGCTTGTTGTGGTCTTCCAGGATCTGCATCCGTGTCTCCAAACGGCTCTTGTGCTGTCGAAGGATCCGGGCCTCCGCCAGCAGCTCCTCGTTATGCGGATCCTGAGCCATTTCCGGAGTTCCTTCTGCCGTGGCTGCCGCCTCCTCATGCTGCCATTTCAGCCGCCTCAGCTCTCCTTGGAGAACTCTGAGGTAAAAATAAAAAGCAATTAAAAAATACAGCTGAGGAAGAAACAGGAACTTGCCAGCACTAAGCCCGTATCAAATATCTTGCCGTGTTGGTGGTTTCACCCAGAAAGGACAACATTAGCTCAAGACAGTTGGGAGCAAAGGCTTTGTGTCTAAGCCTCTTGTATAGTAGGCCCCCTTATCCACAGGATCAGTATCCACCGATTCACTTATCCACGGTCTAAAAACATTAAAAGAAAAACCCTAGAAATATGTTTCAAAAGATGAAGTTACCAGAACTGGCCACTAGAGAGCCAGAGACCATGTGTACAGCGTTCACTATTAAAATAGTGTTTGCTGTAATACAACGTTCACTATTAAAATAGTATTTGCTGTAATCTGTTTTTTAGCATCTGTGGGGTGGTGGAGGATTAGAACTAATTTCTCACAGATACAGGGGTTCTACTGTACTTTAAGTACTTATGTTCCATTTAAAAAAATTATTTAATAAAAAAAATTGTATAACAAAAATAACAAAAACATAAATGACAAATAGAATCACAACTCAAATATACAGTGCAACCCACTGCCATCGGGAATATAAATGTATATATATATATATATATTCTCATCAATATGTTTCATCTTAATTTATATCATATGCTCCGTCTCTTTCCAAAAAACGGAATGATTCTTGTGTTGGGGTAAATATTTTTTTATGCTTTGTAAATATGCACTCTATATAAGAGTTCCAAATCCTATTGAAACTATTTTCCTTCAATCACCCTTTTCTAACTTTTCAATTCACAAGTTAATTTATCGTTAATAGCTTGGTTCCACATCTCATCATATCATTCTTCCAACATCAATTGATTATTATTTTTTCCAATTCTTTGCAAATATCAAACAACCTGCAGTTCCATAACAACAATTAGTCCCGTTTCCCCCCCTATCTAGTTGACAGTTTCCCAACGTTATTTAACCATGCTAACACTGGACGTCTCTTCCATTTAGACTTGCCTCTTTCAAAGATGCTCTCCTAGCCCTTTACATCTCCAGGGGGATAACAAGAAACCTGATAAGAACTCTTTTGGCCACACCCCCTTACCTGTTTTCATCCTCAAGGTGAGCCAAGATTCTCTCCAGTTCGCCTTTGTCATCTGTTTGGGTGCCGTCCTGGGCCGGCTGAGCGCTGACGGGTTCTCGGTCCGTGATGGGGCTGGAATGGCGCAAGAGATACTGGTCTTCATCTCTGTTGGGGACACAGCTGTAAGTGAGGCGGTGATAGCAGAGAAGATACATTCATAACACGGCATCACAGGTTACCCAAAGTAATAGGATCACTAATTGTGTACTAGGAGACTCTTGCCCAACAAGATGCTTTCCAAAGGTGTCCAATATAAATCCCATAATCTCCAGACATCCTGGCCAGTCTGTGCTGATAGGAGTTGTAGTCAACCTCCAGTGGTGTAGTGGAGCCAGGTCTCATAGGGTCAGAGTCCCAAGATTTTTTTTTTAAATTAGCAGGGATGATGACATTGTGTGCCACTCCTCCCAAGGTTCAGGGTCCCCTCTGAATCTGCGTGCAAACTTTCCGGTAGCTGGGAGAGAAACAGATTTTTTTCGGAAACAATATACAGTATTGTTGTAAAGAATCCCTGTCATAGTGTAAAGAACAGATGGTGGTCTGTTCTTGAAGGGGAAATTAAGAGGCTTTATCTTTACAAAAAGACCTGCCCCTTAATTGTTCATGCACAGCCTGCCTATTTGGACTCTCGTTCTGGGGTGGGGTTGCAATGGGGGCTGTCAGAAGGAGGCCCCCCTACTTCCAAATTGACCATGTTCTTCACTACCATCACTGTCAACACATTCAGAAGGCAGCCGTTTGGGGAAGGCTGGGCTGGGGCAGACGCATCTCCCTCCCTTCAGCTTAACAGGAGGAGGTGTCTCCCACTCCTCACAGAGTAGGCAAAAACAGAAGCAACAACAAGAACAACAACAAAAAGGAAACAGCAACTCACAGGCTATCATCTGGAGAAAGGCTGTCATTGTAAAAGGAAGAATTTTGGCTTTCCATCTCTGCAAGCCTACGGAGGAGAGAACAAGACCAATGAACAGAAGGGAGAGATGCACCAAGGGCAGGAAGACCCTCAAGGAATGCCCCAGCAGGGGCAGGAGGGGCCCATCTCGGGTGGTTAGAAACCCTAAGTGGTTCCCTCCAAATGAGGAAGTCTAAAATGGCCTCTGGTTGGATCAGACCAAAAAAAGAGGCCCATCTAGTCCAGATTTCTGGTTCTAGTAATTAACCAGCAAAATGGCTCTCCAAAATCCACCACAGCTAACATTCAGGCGTATACTGTTCCTGAACAAATCGGAACAAAATTTTGTTGCCGTGACATTAGCAGCCAAGATGAACATGTCCTAGTCTAGGAAGCCAGTCTCTTGTTTTCAAGCAGGAAAAGAACACCCCCCTGACTCCCAGACATGCCTTCCATCTGGCCCACCCAGGTTTTGGCTTTCTATCGCCCACCCATCATATCGCTGGCTTGGTGGAATGCCACTGAACTCTCCCGTCAGTCTTGATGCAACTGCAGTGCAACACAGGAAATGGTGCCATCGCTACCACCACCTTCAGCACTGCCTACAATGTCCGGAAACAGTTCTCCAGGGGAACAGCCAGAGGTCTTTCCAAGCCCTACCCAGGAGAGTGAACAAGAGACCTTTAGTGTGCACAGCATGTGTCCTACCCACTGGGTTATGGGCCTTCGTAAGACAGGCATCAATAGCTCAGAGCCAGAGGTTGGCAGTTTTATTTCCCTTTGTGGCTCCTGGGAGAAGAGCCAGCCTGGGTGGCCTTGGGCCAGCTGCACAGTCCCAAGGTTGCCCCTAGAGGAAGGGAAGGGTAAAGCACTTTTGAGTATTCTCTACCTGGAAAACTCTGAAAAGGGTCCCCATGAATCAGCATTAACTAAATGGTACAGGATGATGATGATGACGACAGGCATGAAGACATTAAACCATCCTTGGGATGTGATCAAACAGCACTACAGCTGCATGAAGACATTAACCATCCTTGGGATGTGATCAAACAGCACTACAGCTTACATTTTGGACCACTTGTGGTCCAATTCAAGCTGTCTTCCAGTGACCAGACAATGTACTGGAAATCATGGCTCAACTTGACTCTGTCAATGCCCAGTCCAGACCTTTCTGGTCCAGTGGCTGGGCTACCCTTCTTTCGGTGCAGGACTGGAGTGATGGGGACCTTATCTCATGTGTCCAGAAAGATCACTTTAAGGGAGACCACACCCAATGAAGTGACTCTATCCAGCACGATTCAACACAATCCAATATCACCGTCTGATTGCATGGTCACACAAATCTTTGCCCATCTAAGCCAGAAGTGACTAGCTGGATTGGCAGTAGGCTCTCTGGATTCTCAGACAGAAGTCTTTCAGAGGCACCTTCTTTTAACCCGAAACGTATACCCTTGGAGGACCCCGTACATTCACAGCAGGCGCTCTGACACTGAGCTACAGCCCCTCCTGCAAGCAACGAAAGGCATCCGCAGAATCCAGGGGTCTGCTGCTATAGCGGCCTGTCCTTTCTCTCCGTATCTGCCGCTGCCTCTCGCCCAACAAAACCCATCCTTCTTGTCACTTAAGGGCACCTGCTGGCGAAGTGTTCAATCCGAGAGTGGGTGTCCGCATGAGGTAACATCGGAGAGGAAGCTGGCCTAGAAGAGACATAAAGGGGACAGGAAGAATTCAAGGGTGAGATTCTCAGCTGCCACACAAAGTGACTTCAGAGAGGCTGGGAGCCACTGGGAGGCCTCTGAGTGACTTGCAGTGTACAGGCAAGGGGATTTTTGATTGTCAGATGTTTAACACCCACAGGAATAACAACAAGACAAGTCTCTTTATATCTTAAATCGTAATGTGGAAAGGAAGAAAGCTTGAGGTAACCAGAAGCACATCGTTGTGCAGGCAGATTGTGAGTGCTGTTCACCTCGGGAGCTCAGGACAGACTCCCATGTTCATAGATCTTTAATTTTAAGTTCATGTCTTTTGCACCAGGCTCTGGGGACAAGATCTTGGGGTTCTAATAAAAACTAGATTCCTCAAGCCGGAACTATGGAGTATTTTACTGTTTCCCCTTACAGATAGCATCTGTGTATTTCATAGTCAATCCCTTCTGTGCCGTCATACATGGTACGCAATATGTCCACAGCAGAGACGTGCAACATGATTTCTTCATGGTTTGATAGCTCAGTGGTTTAAATCTCTGGCCGCGGAGCCAGAGGTTGGGAGTTTGATTCCCCCACTGGGCCTCCCAGAAGAGCCAGCCTGTGTGGCCTTGGAGAATTCCTTGCTTCCCAGAATTCTTTGCTTGGATCAAACCCATTTGGCCAGGTCCTTCCACCGCACTGCACACAAGGAAAAGCGATCGCCAGTCAACCTGCTACTTACGTTTCAATGAAGTCGGCCTCCAGGACAGACTGGACTGGGAGGTAACCTCGCTGGGGATGCTTGCTGAAATACTGCTTGGACCGGAACTTGTTTTTCAGAGTGGTGGCAAAGTCCCTCATGTTCTCGCTAGAGGTGGTCTGCAGTGAGATGGAGAGGAGCGTAAAACGAGATCCTCAGTGGATTAGAGGCCAGTTTCTAAATAATCATGCCATCAACCATGCAAAGCAGAGCTACTATTTATACTTCTTGCATTGGTAGGACAGCCCCCCCTTCCTCAAAGAAAAGTAGTAAATAGCTTTTGTTTCATCATTTCTCTTGTTCTCCAACCTCCTGTATGCTAATTTGTTCTAAAAAAAATTCTAAAACTTTGGCTACCTGTTCTGAGAAATGTCCTACAGCCGTGTCCCTGTGTCCCCCTGGTTTTTCCACCACTAAGTATGTCTAAAGCATCATCGTCATCCTTTAAATTAGCTTCTTTAACACATAGTTCTGTGTGCTGGATAGCTCAGCAGTTGAGGTCTCTGGCTGTGGAGCCAGAGGTTGGGAGTTTGATTCCTCCACTGGGCTTCCTTGACAGGGGCTGGACTTGATGACCTCCAGGGTCCCCTTCCAGCTCTGCTGTTCTAAGATGATGTGCCTGGACCCAGAAGACGGCTTCCGAGCCAGGCTCCTAAAACAGCTCTGTAGTAACGACACAGATAGCTTCATGCTCCGATTCTCAGCGTTTGGCTCTCCAGATGTTGATGGATTTCCTCTCCCAGAAGCCCCAGCCAGTATGGACAAAGTTGAGAGGCTGTGGGAGGTGAAGACCAAACCATTTGGAGGACCTGAAGGTCAAGAACCACTGGTACCACATAGCTCAAGTTAGTATTCGCAATCAAGTCGTCCCAGGTAACTCCATCTGTCTTACTGGCGTGTAGTACTCCATAATGGGGTAATGAAGCTTGTTCCCTTTGCTGGCTCGCCCCGTCAAAAAGCAGGTCTGGCAGATGTCCACGTTGAATTGCTTCAAGCTGCGGTATCTAGAACAAGAGATGACAGCCAAGGTTGGTTCTGGCAACCGGTGGCTGAATCAGCTGGCACCGTTTTCAATAGACAGCACCAGCTCAAGGTTGGGCATGCATGCCTTTCAGGCAGAACTTGGAAAAAGTTACTTTTGAATACTATAGTTCCAGCAGACATTGGGGGACGAGGGAATTCTGTGTGCTGTTGTCTGAAAAATTTTTCCAAGCTCTAACGGGAAGGTTCATTAAAGGATGAAAAAATCCGTCACACAGAAAATAAGCATTTTAGCCAGAAAGATTCCAGAAGAGCCTTCTGCTTGTTGTGCTATTTTTATTGGATTTAGGAATGGTGGTGGTTGTAGGTGACCGTGAAACTAAAAGGCTAATGAGGAAGGTGATCACAGAACAAAGAGAAGGCAATTAGCTTTAGAGAGAAGTTAATGAGGAGTCCACAACCAGATGTCTGAGCCAGCGAAGCCCCAGGGCGACACCCCAAGAAGTCCCTTTTATTAACCTTAGCAAGCTTACAGATTGTTGAAAGGATTTAGATAGGACACTAGTTACCTAACGGCCACTTAGGTTTTGGCTGGAGAAAGCTTTGGTCTTATGCTCTAACTCTAAGGCAGGGGTCCCCAACCTTTTTCACCCCACAGACTGGGTCGGGAAGGCGGGGCACCACTGCGCTCGTGTGAATGTGTGAACAAGTGCATGTGCTCTCTCGCACAAATGAGTTGTGCGCTCATGCACATGTGCAAATGGTGGCACAGCATTTGTGTGGGCACGTGCGCTTGTGTAAATGGTAGTGCGAAGCATACACATATGCAAATCAGTTGTGCGGGGGTAAGTGCGTTTGGGGGGGATGGGAGGTCTGTCTCCGCGGCCCAGTCCAGCTCAGGTCACGGACCAGCACTGGGCCATGGACTGGGGGTTGGGGACCTCTGCTCTAAGGGGAAAAGGCAGAATGAGTGAGTCACCCTTCCCGTCAGGAGCAGCTGTCACTGTGCCAGGAGAGAGTGCTCTACACTGAAGAACAGATAACAGCTGGCAACCTTGAGGAGGGTGTTCCTACAGGTGGGGCTGATGGTGATGAATATATTGCTTGAATCATGCCGTTTCCCCAGGGCAGATCTCCAGCAGAACTGTCCACGCAGACACTCTCCATACCTGAAGCCTTTGATCGGGCACTGCCGGCAGACCGAGCACTTAGTCTGGTGTTTTACTTGCTCGGCAAGGGTCACTCGGTGAAGGACTGCCATCCACACCATCGACTGTGGCTCCAGGTTAGCCCATTCCAAGAACTGGGCAGCCTCGATGGTTGGCTTCCCATTTCCCTAGGGGAAGATAAGGAAGGGAAGGAACTCAACACTGTCCATAACAGCCTTTCCCAACCTGGTGCCCTCCCAATGCATTTGGGTGACGGCTCCCATGATTCGTCGCTTGAGTAGCCAACATGACAGATGTGAGCAGCAACAAATTTTTTCATGTTTCTTTCATTTTGGTTTTTTTTCAGGAGGTACATATATTTTTCATTTTCATTTTCGTAGTGTACCAATCCTTTTGCTTTATACAAAAGCAGAAGCCTTTTTCAGGTTACCCGTTCATCGTTCCCCACTTATAACAATTACCAAATAAGATTTTTTTTTTTAAAAAAATGTATCAAACTGGGAAAGCATTTCCTCCAACACACCTGGACAAGATAGCAAAATTAAAACAACGACAGCAAACATCACACAGTCCTTCTCCCAAAAACCAAGAAAATGGGAAATAAACTTATAACAATTACCAAATAAGAATTTTTTTTAAAAAAAATGAATCAAACTGGGAAAGCATCTCCTCCAACACACCTGGAAAAGATAGCAAAATTAAAACAACGACAGTAAACACCACACAGTCTTTCTCCCAAAAACCAAGAAAATGGGAAATAAAGATGAAAAAAGACGATCAAATCAAAACTACTAGAATATGGGAAACTACCTTCTACTCTACCATTTGATGTCTTCTCTTCTCCTTTTTGAGTCCAGCAAGCAGCAGCAACAACAAAAAAGAAAAGCCCAAGAAAGGAAAGGAGGAGGAAAAACACACACACACACACACAGAGGGAGGGGGGAGTCTGCAAATAAATCAATTAGAAAAAGAATCCCCCCAAATTATCCTAAGGACAAATGCTAGTGCAGGCAGGCTGCCTGGTAGCAGCAAAAATAATCCAAAGCAATGGGGGAAACTCTGTCAGAATGAAGACCAAAGGGGGAAAAAAGGAATGGATCCAAGTTGGATGCAGAGTAGACAGGCAGGTAGGCAGCGATCTAAGATGGAGGGCACTATCTGCTTAGCACACAGCAATCCCACAATGAGTAAATGAAGCAAAGAGCACTCCTTACTAGGTTCCAGGTGTTTTTACAGATTCAAAATTCCCACTCCCCTGAATGTTCTCATTAGCTGCTGATGTATCTCAAAATGCTATTGGATGAAAAATTTATCAGGTGATTTTTTTCAGCCAAAGCAAAAGGTTACATGAAAGAGGGAACACAAAAAAGACATGAAACCACCACCTCCATTCATAAATATGAAACATTTGTGTTTTAGAGTCTCTTTTGTGGCAATTCCTCACATACTACGAATTACGTATTACTGTAATTCTTTTGTGTTTGGGATCTTTTATTTAGATGTGAAAAGCCCATGTCTAGCCAACATTTCAGAAGGGTATCAGACTGGGGGTGGGGAAGGCTGACCCAAAAGAGCAAATCATAGGGCTGCTCATGAGTTTTGTGACTCCTTTCTTCCAAACTGACTATAGCTTCCTGAACTAGAGAAATTACCATTGAAATGATTTAGCATACTCAAATTATTTTAGATTAAACATGGTGTACTTAATTATTCATTGTAGCCCTTTTTATAAGGCACTTCAATTAACTTCCCAGGGTGGTTTTATACAAAAAGAAAATGCAGAAACAACAGGATTAATATCACGAATCCAAGAAAACAGCAGTTTTTGCAAAAATTAAAAAGGGCAGGCGATCTCAACACAGCATGAAAGCAACAGCTGAAATCAAGATTAAGAATAAAAAGTTTAAAATTTAAAAAGGCAGGAGATCTCAACACAGCATGAAAGCAACGGCTGAAATCAAGATTAAGAATAAAAAGTTTATTACACTGAAAATATTTTTGCCTGGGGCATGAAGGACAACAAGGGTGGAAGGAATTCTATAGCTAGCAGGTCACCAGCGAAAAGTCTCTTTTCCTGCGGTCAACCCTACAAAGTCCTTTATCTATATCGGTTTAGGAATTTGGGGCAGAGGGAGTCGTAGGAGGGGAGCCAACCCTCCAAAGTCCAGAAATGAGTATATGCAGCCTCTGGACCTCTGGAGTAGCATGATCACACAAGAACAAAAGCAGTGGTGGGGTAACTTCCAGAGATGGGAGAGGTGTTTCATGTACGCTAAACTTGTTATCATTTCCTCTTCTACACACCTATTAAAGGTACAGGAAAGAGATGGGAGAGGTGTAGCATTTCATGTACACTAAACTTGTTATAATTTCTCTTCTACACACCTATTAAAGGTACAGGAACCCTGACCTCCACTTCACTCACCCCAGATCTAAGATCTTGCTGCACAGGTAGGTGATAGCTGATTATACATATATCCTGCACCTAAACTTTATTAATACAGTGGTGCCTCACTTGACGACATTAATTCGTTCCAGCGAAATCGCTGTAGAGCGAAAATGTCATCAAATGAAACGAAAAAAACCCCATCGAAACGCATTGAAAACCCCTCAATGCGTTCCAATGGGCTGAAAACTCACCCTCCAGCGAAGATCCTCCATAAGGATGGCCATTTTCAGGTGCCTGTATAGCGAAAAATGGCTCCTAAAAACAGCGGGGAGCCATTTTGAGCAGCCAGTGGCCATTTTGAAAACCCGACAATCAGCTGTTTTGATTGTCGTGAAGCGAAAAATCGGTTCCCGAAGCAGGGAACCGATCATTGCTAAGCGAAAAACCCCATTAAAACATCGTTTTGCGATCGCTTTTGCGATCGCAAAAATGTCAATGTAATGCGGATTTGTCGTTGTACGGGGCAATCATTAAGCGGGGCATGACTGTATCATGAAACTTTTGCATGGGCATTACAACACGTTGATCTAAGATATCTGCCCCAGATTTCTGCCCCAGATAACAATTTATGGACATAAGACAGTGCAGAAATAGATGCTGAGTAATTTCTAGGTGAAGGGGTGGGGCAGGTGAGAGGTCTGATACAAGAAGTATCTTTCTTAGGTGATGCTGATGAGGTGCCCGTCAAATATCCAGGGCTTTAATGACATAACATTGAAGGCTGGGCAGACGATGGCCAGGCTTCCCATCTTCTCTTTCCTTTGATCCTGGTCTGACTGACTCCAGTCCTCGGCAACAGGCCTTTATAAACACTACGGCAGTCCTTCAGGCTGGAGTCATAGATAAGCTGCTCCTAAGTCACCATAACCTACAAACCTAGCAAGGCACTCTATTTGCTTTGCCCAACTGGTGCAATTCCCTTGCCGAGGATTTTTTTTCCCCTGCACGGTCAACAACATGGTTCAAGCACCCTTGACGCAGTCAACTCACAAAGCGAAAGCAGCTGCGGACGCTGGGCTCCACGTTGCTGCCACCAAAGGCGGCGACTTCCCCCAGCTGACGCGGAACCTGGATGGCTTCGTGAAGCAAGAGGCCGAGGTGCCGCTGGTCACAGAATCCGTTGGCATTGGCCACTTGGCTGAATAGATCTGGAGGACATGGAGGAAGCCCATGAGGCATGGCAAAATCCATAGAGAAAGGAGACAAATGAAAAAGGATCAAGCGGGAATGATCAAAACACGGGGAAAGGCAGGCATGGGTGGGGAAAGGCCTGAGAACAACTCATTTTGTCATTCTTAAACCAAAACAAGATGAGGTCTTGGGACCCGTTAAGATGAACATGTTTTATCGGCCTTAGCTTGGGTGGACACTTGACCACTCCTTCAGACGCAGGAAGTGAGCAAAAGCCCATGAATGTTTTTGCCAAATAAAACTTTTAAGATTTTTGGATGTCATTTTTTGGTTCTTTTTCTTTCTTTCTGGAAAAAAACTAATATGGCTACCTGCTCTAGAAAATTCTTAACCAACCAGCTTTGAAAACAGATTAATCTGGTTTAGTAGATTCTGGATGTGATGGCACAGGGAAATAGATTGCAGTTTGGAACACTTGTGGAGCAGTCCCCATGATCTGTTTCCTGGCAGTCACACGACACATGGGGAAAGGCGCTCCAGCTGGACCTCGATCCATGCCCAAGCTGGACGTTTTTAGTACAGCGTCTAATCTGGGGGCCAGATGGGTGTGATTCTCTAGCAGATGGAAGGGTCGCTTTAAGAGATATAGGTAAAGGTAAAGGTTCCCCTTGACATTTTTAGTCCAGTCGTATCCGAATCTAGGGGGCGGTGCTCATCCTGTTTTCAAGACGTAGAGCCAGCACTTCTCCGGAGATAGTTTCCATCGTCAAGTGGACAGCATGACTAGGGAATGCCGTTTTACCTTCCCACCGAGGTGGTACCTATTTATCTACTCGCATTTTTACATGCTTTCGAACTGCTAGGTTGGCGAGGAGCTGGGACAAAGCGATAGGGGCTCACTCCGTTGTGTGGATTCGATCTTACGACTGCTTGGTCTTCTGACCCTGCAGCACAGGCTTCTGCGGTTTAGCCCACAGTGCCACCACGTCCCATTTTAAGAAAGATGGCTCCTGTTAAAGTGACCCTCTCTGATGCAATCAGGCATGGGCCTTTAAATAATACCCTTTCTCTCTCATTAGAGCAGGGCTAGGAAATTTCACATTAAGTTCTCTGAAGGGGATTAGGAAATCTAACAGAGAACTGGGGAAAGCCATGAGAGCTACACTAATAGCCAAGCATCATATATTTGTTAAGTAGCGGCTTGCAAAATGTTCCACCTTCAGTGAAGCTTTTCACTTCCACTAGTATGCCAAGAGCTGGCTGGATAGCTCAGTGGTTTAGGTATCTGGCTGCAGAGCCGGAGGTTGGGAGTTTGATTCTCCACTGGGCCTCCCAGAAGAGGCAACCTGTGTAGCCTTGGGCAAGCTGTAGAGTCCCAGGGCAACCCCAGAAGAGGGGAATGGGAAATCACTTCTGAGTACTGTACTTTCTGCTTTGAAAATCCTGGAAAGGATTGCTGTAAGTTGGAATCAACTTGAATGTATGCAGTTATGAGTAGTAGCATGCCAAGAAAGTACAGATTTCCTTCTCACCCTGACTGACTAATCTCATAGCTGATGAAAAAAAAAAAGAGACTGTCTGTCCTAAAGACTCAGTGGATGGTTGTTTCTCCCTCACACAAAGTGGCTTGCAGAGGGATGCTTTACATAGGCCATGCTACTGGTGCAAACATGAGGAGAGGGGGCCCCTTGTACAAAGACGTTTTCTCCCGGTGTAGGAAGACACTGGAATCTATCTTACACCGACTCAGCCCACGGGTCCACCTAGCCCTTTCTTATCAAAATTCTGATAATCAGTGCTGGTCCGTGTTTCAGTCAGAATTCCTCTGCAACCGTATGCATGCGCAACCCTCTGTTTTACCACTGAACTACAGCCACCACCACCCCACCAAGACGGTTATTGGTGCACAAGATGGCCCATATTTCCTCCGGCAAAATACTAGAAGCTACGCAGGACATACACAGATTGGCCGGGTTGCAGTGGTAGCTCTTTCTGGGCCCGTCTCGCTTCACCATCATCAAATTTGGAAGCTGCCTGTTCCTATTTTGTTAACCCTCTCCCCAGGGAGACTCACACTGGAATTTTTCCTTCACCTCCGTACCACACAGGCATGCGATCCCTGTTTTGAAGGAGAGGGCCCGCATCTTCCCACTGCGTCCGCTGGAAGGAAAAAGGTGTAGGTTGAAAAACTGTCCCTCCAACTTTGCTTGGTTTACAGATGCCCTGATTTTGCCCTGCTGAGCAGCTTGTAAACAGTTTCCTTCAAATATGCATGACGAAATAAATCCAAATCATGCTGTAGATGAGACCTACGCAACTGGCATCCAAACTGAATGCAGACCATTAGTCGTGTGATAGCCCACTGGGGATTTGCTAATCTTACTTTTGCTCCCACCTACCTGGATAGAGAAAGAAAGCTCCCAGCTAGCACCAGGGCAGGAACTGGAAGCTTGGACAGAACTAGGCCTACCTAGGTCTCAAAACCTTTCAATTTAGGTCTTTCTTTCAGATCAGCCAGCCATACTCTATATATGTCTATATCAGGTCAGTCTGTCAGGTAGAACTTCCAGAATGGGGAACTGCAGGGTTTGTAGTTCAAAAAACCCTACAATTCAATCCCTACAGGTCACTTACAAGTCTTCTTCGTCAAGCGTCTCCAGAGAAGACAGAATCAGATGCACTCTAGTCCAACCCCTTGTTCAGTGTTATTGTCCTGCACACACAACAATTCTGACATTGTGATAATTTGTCAATGTCAGATACCTCTACTTAAATACCTCCACAGCAAAGAAAGGCCCACCACCTCCCTGTTGAACAGCTCTTGTCCTGAGGAAATTTCTCCCATGTCTAACAAAAATTGGTTTCTTTCCCACTTTTACTCACTAGCTCTAGCCCAGATCTCTGGGGCAACAAATGGGAAGCCCGGAAGTAACAGACAATCCTGGACGGACAATACAAACACTTTCACCTCTAGAAAAGGATGGGCTTTAAGGAATATGTTCAAATTGTCTACCTGAAACTTTCAGATATTAAGGACAAACCAAGAATGACCACCATGCCTTATTTGTGAAGGGACACCTCTTGTTACAGACTTAGTGCTGGACTGGAGTGACTGAATCAACCTGTACTGTAATTGGTACAAGGTACCTGTCAAAAACGTTGAGCAGCCAATTCAGGGTCATGTCAACACAGAGCGGGACGTTTACTAGAATACCCCTTTCTTCCTCAAGCCGCTCATAGAGGGCGGTCAGGCAGTGGATCACCTCCACCACATCCATCACATGGTCACTGGGTTGCAGTTCGTGCTCATTGAAGACTTCCAAGGCTGTCGGCAGCATCACCATGTCCACTATGGTCAAGAAACAAAGAAGTACAGGAATAGGGCATGGGTCATTGTGCGAGATGAAACAAAGAAAGGGATGTCATCCAGGTCATCACAAGGAGGTTGAAGGCAAACGCTACGGAAGAGATGTCAATATAGAAGTGTCACAAGAGGTAAATGGGAAAAACTAATGCCCTCCATTCTTGGATCACCATTAAATGACACACAACCCCAAAGGCATTGTATGCATGATGGAGCAGCTAATTTTAACTACAGTCATTTTATGCAGGCATAACGTAAATGGTGTAATTCTTGGCAGTGAATCCCTACCCATTAAAAAGGCACCCTATACAGTGGTGCCTTGCTTAATGACGTTAATTCATTCCAGCGAAATCGCTGTAGAACAAAAACGTCGTAAAGCAAAAATAAAAAACACACTGAAACGCATTAAAACCCGGTTAATGCGTTCCAATGGGCTAAAAACTCACCGTTCAGCGAAGATCCTTTCGGTGCCTGTATAGCGAGGAATCCGTCCCTAAGCACAGCAGGGAGCCATTTTGCACACCCGGCGGCCATTTTGAAAACCCAACGATCAGCTGTTTTGATCGTTGTAATGCGAAGAGTCGGTTCCCGAAATAGGGAACCGATCATCATGCAGCGAAATTCCCCCATTTAAAACATCATTTTAAAAAACATCGTCGTGAAGCGGATTAATCGTAATGCGGAGTAATCATTAAGTGGGGCACAACGGTACATTATCTGTTGTGCATCAAGTCATGTGACTCACCATGTAATGAATAATGTCTCCACTGACTTCTTCACTTATGGCAATTTGCTGCCAAAAGTTACGCTGTTTGTGTAAATGCTCGCAGGCATCACTAATCAGATTTGACCCAATGTGTAAGATGTACTGTATACTGTACATGAATACAGTCCAAATGTGTGATTATGAGTCAGAGTTCTGTGATCTTCTTCTCCTTTAAAGTCCCAGAATTACAGTAATCTGGTGCAGAGGTGTGTACGCAAATCAAGCAAAACCAAATCAATCAATCAATCAATCAATCAATCAATCAATCAATCAATCAATCAATCAATCAATCAATCAATCAATCAAAATAAAGACCAAAAACATTGTGGCACCTTAAAGACTAACTGCTATATTTTAATGTGAGCTTTTGTAGACAAGTCCACTTTTCCAGACTTCTTTCATGGACAAATCCACAAAAAGTCCACTTTTTCAGACTACTTCTTTTGTGGACTTCTCCATGAAAGCTCACATTAAAATATAGCCTTTAGTCTTTAAGGTGCCACAACGTTTTGGTCTTCTTTTTTTAACTTTTTTTTTTAAATTTAAAAACTAACATAGCTACATCTTCTAAAATAACCCCATTCAAATAATGGATCATGCATTTGATTTACTGCTGCTTGTTTACGTTGATTTTCTTATATTTTAGCCTGCACAATTCATGCTTCTAGAAATTTGTGATTTCAGCTATTTGGCATTTCTGGTTTTGACCGTACTTGTTAACTGTCCAAGGCTCTCAAGAGGAGTGGCAATCAAAGGAATCGTACGAGTGTCGTGAATGAGCTCCTCTAGCTGTCCAGTACTACCAGTTTAGGCAAGTGGGTAAACTACCCCTGAGTTAACTCTGGGCAGAGAAAAGAGCAGGATCAGACCAGAATTATTTATAACTTACATCGTAGGGCCTTCTGCACGCGACGTAATTTCATGGCAGTACGATAAGCAGAAAATTTGATGTTGTTTAGGTCAGCTAAGGAAGAGAGAGAGAGAGAAAGAGAGATGAAGCCACAGACTTTATACCCAACACTGCAGAGGTGGCCAACTGTGGATGATGGGACTAGAGGGCCACGAGATCCCCACCAACTACTATTTCTGTAAGGCCAAAAAGGGTTCCCAGCTCTACCCTGCAGCCTGAGTAATGCAACCGGTGGTGACTCTCCAGTTCTGGAATTCAGCATCCAGAGAAATCTGTTGGGGCTGGACCTCTCTCCCTGGTTCTTTTATTCTTATTCTTATTCTTATTTTGCTTTTAGTGACACTTTCTACTGTTTTATGCTGGCTCTGTTGATTTTTTTAACACTGTCGGCATTTTTGATATTCCACTGATACTTAATCAATTGTTTTGTTTGTTATTCTGGATTTGATTCAAGGGGAAAATAAATTCAAAGTGGGATATAAATGGCTGAAATCCATAAAAATAAAGAAATCACCTATGGAGGTAAATACGGATCTTCAGCCATGTTTGATCGGTTAAGACTTGAAGGACCAAGGAAAGAAAACTTGAGAAATGTTGCAGGGGAGAAGCTCCCCCTGATCCCCTTCTCTGCCCCTTTCTTTATAACAGGAGTGGGAGGGAACCTTGCAAATCCCATCCTCATCCCACACTCCGTGGGAAGCAACCTGTCCCTCCAGAGATCAAATGGATAAAGGAGTCTCCATAATGCAAGTACATCTCCCTTTCCCTAAGTCGATCCTTTGTTCTATAGCTCTGCTTTCATTTGAGAAACTCTGAGGGAACAACAGAACATAGGAAGAAGACTTACACCGAATCTGGCCTTTGGTCCAACTCTGGCTCTCCAGGAGTTCAGAAGGAATTCTTCCAGCCTTATTGGGAGATGCTAGAGAATGAATTTGGGGCCTTCTGCACCAACACATGCACTTTACTGCTAAGCTAGCCCTCCCAGAGGCAGTATCTATCTATCTATCTATCTATCTATCTATCTATCTATCTATCTATCTATCTATCTATCTATCTATCTATCTATCTATCTATCTATCTATCTATCTATCTATCTATCTATCTATCTATCTATCT